TATATATATATATATATAATGAAACAACAGACACGAGGTGGTTAATTTGCCAAAATGTATAAATTTGAAACAGCGCGTTTTTGCCACTAAATTTTAAAATTTTCAATGCAAATCAATGTTATGTGCTACTCACCTAACTATTCTGAGATAGTTGTGCTCCCTGCCCCCTGATCTGAGTATTCATTACTGGTACCCATAATGAATACTTAGATACGGTGGTATAGGCACAGAAAACAGCAGATAAGCAAGCACGATTAATTATCACGTGTTGTGTTGTTGGAAAGCATAATAAGCTAATAATAATTAAAAGGCTAAACTAGGGGTATGATTAAATAACTATAGGAACAGGCAGTGACGATTAAAATATTAACAGTTAAAATATACAAACATTAAATTACACAAATAAAATGTAAGCCTACAAATAAAGTATATCTGCTTTTTAAATGTTTTAATAGGCCTATTTCGTGTTTAAAAGTCATAACGTCTACATAATGTTTATTCGTTCTGCTTGAGCCCCGGAAATGTATTAGTAATTTACACGCTCATTCTTATTCAATGACTGAAAATTATTTAGAATAATAGAACTATTTACACAGTACTGTAAAAATACTTTGACCTACAAAACCGTGACATGTAAAATAAAATACTTTCTTAGGATTGTATTAGGAATTGTCAATGAAATTACATTCTAAACACTGCAGTACTGGATGGTCCAAGGATTCTGGACTACAAACGAGCCCTATATGTCAAAAACCATTGTTTTAGACCACACGTATTCACTTATTAGTGTTAGAAGTAACATATACTAAGCATGTCATTATTCTTGTTCAATGTAATAGAAAAACACAAAACAAACAGAAGCACCAGATTAACACACACACACACACACCCCCACACACACACACACACACGAAAAACAGCTATGAAAGTTAGGCTTGTAAAGGCGTTGGAAATTACCCGTTTTATTTTTGTGGATGGCCGCCAATTTATATATCAGGCCTATAGTCGCCGAATGCTGTGGCTTGAGCCGCCGAATAATGTAGTCGTCAAATGCTAGGGTCGCCGCTGAATGAAAAAGTCGCCGCCGCATGCCAAATGCGCCGAATGCAATGGGGCACCGAATGAAAAAATGCGCAGCTGAACGCTATAGCCGCCGCTGAAGGCACTGTAGGCGTCCCATACTCATGGTCCAATCTATTTAAAGCAGTGTGACCACTGCTTGGGTATTTACCAAAGATCTTGGGTATTTTTACATGGTCTTGGGTTCTTGGGTATTCTGTTCAAATCCTTGGCTATTTTATTTTTACTAAGAAAATTAAATATTTTTGTCATAGAGGAAGAATTAAGACTGTAACAAAGTATAATTCAGTCCATTCAAGTAAGCAAAACTCAACGAAGTGCACATAACATTGTTAATTGACTGTTAATTGCTATAAAAATGGGTTGGTTCAGAATTGTTTATTTGTGATTTGCGTTGCCATTGATTTTACCTAATTAATACTTTACATAATAAAACTTGATCACTGATCTACACTGATAACACTGGCCAACTGAGGGCGTATTTTTCTATCCGTATTATTACCTCATGATATTAATTTTAATAATTAACAAAAACAATTACAATAAAAAATGGTTTATAAATTGAACTAAAAGGGAAACTATACATGCGAAAAACACGTATTTTTCAAATCTTGATGCATTTTCAGGAAGCTTGGGTAATTTTGGGCAATTTTTGCTGAATCTTGGGTAATTTCGACGCAGTCATTGGGTATATCAAAAATTGTGAGTGGTCACGCTGGTGATTATTATGCGCACCGGTTACTCTTCATGGTGATGGAATTCTTTTATTTTGGGTCCCAATACATTCTTTTTGACCTGTCTTTGGAATGTGTTTGGTTTACCGTTGGTATTTTAATCCCAGTCCGGATTGTGACGGTGGCGGATCCAGGAATTTGAAATAGAGGGGGTCCGAAAAGACGAAAGACGAAAGGTAACTCAATTATTATTGTTATTTCTTTCTAGAATTCCAGCGCTGGTATATTACGAACATCATTTTTTAGCCTTTTGTGAGAAACGACTTAACGGATACCATGACCAAGGACCAATGGAATTGGTGTTGCGAAGGGGACATTTACATGATAAGGATGTTAAGTGGAAAGAAGAGGTTAGATTGTACCCTGACAACAGCACTAATTCTAAAAATAAAAGAAGGTTTGGATTTGGTTTACAGACATAAATTTAGCATAGTATGCAGTGGGGTAACCATGAGGTGCTCATGATACCTGAGCACCCCTCTGTTTGCTTATACAAACAATAATAATAGTAAATTAATTGTAATAACTTGAAAAGTAAGTTACTTTAGACGATTAACAACCCATTCATGGTGTAGTCATAGCCACTGATATCCGATCCCTAGTTTTGCAAGTTGCATTAAGTTATTAAGTTCAGTTAATGTAGTAATTCTATTTTAGGACCCTCATTTTCAAAACCCTGCCACTGCTTTATAAAGTGATGATTTAAAGTAAAAATATTAAAAGGTATAAAGTGAGTATAGGCAGAATGAAAGAATCAATTACCAAATACTGAGAAAGGAAGCCATTTCATCTATCAAATTTTTTTTCGTAAGTAGCATACTACTCCTAAAGGTGTTCCATTATGCCCAGGTTTTTATTTTTGCGTTTTGTTTTTGTAAACTGTATGTGTAACCTAATAAATGAATACAAAAATGTAAATAGAAGTACTAATTTGAAAAGCAAATTTAAAATACTCAGAAAGAGAGAAGAAAGGAAAAACAATAATAATTTATCATTACCAAGATGGTTGCTATTCAATAAAATGTAAAATAGAAACAAGAAACTATTATTTGATGAGTAAACATTTTAATATTATGTATGCTTTGTTTATCTACTCAAGGCCCATGAATCCCATTCCTATTGTGGTTGGGGAAGGCCACATCATCTTGATGTTTAATACTTATCCGGAATCCATATCATCGCATGGTATGTCAAAGGAGAGGCATATTTGGGATACGCTAATAAAATACAGCAATGATGGAGGGAAGCATTGGTCTCTCGCTCAACCAGTTTTCATATTGGAACATTTTAACAATAGGAGTCCATATTACTGTGCTATTGGTAAGTTATACCAGGGGAGAATTCAAGTTATGCAAATAAATTCAGTTTTAATTCAAATGTCATTCAGAATGTATAATCCATCACTTTTTTTTAAATGTTTGCATTGTTTAAAATAGGCCCGTATAAGGGCTGAATTCCGAGGTCATAATATTAATAGTTAATGGTGAAGAGCGTCGTGTGTCGTTCTATTAAAATCAAACACTAGGTCCCATGTCCCATCTCGATGTACAGAGCAGCTTATCAGGGATCAGGTTGACAAAGACTTGAAAATAGCGCATGCACAATCTGTCCTATAAGGATTATTATAATTTCACGAGATTTCTTTAGAAAAACAAATTGCCTGGGGTTTAGGTCTCTTAGGGGGCCCATTCTCAAATACCGTAAAACCTCGAATAGAAGAACTAGGCTTCATTTTAGGACTCTTGGACAGGCTTCTTTTGGAGATTGGCCTCTTTTCGAGGGAGGTTTCTTTTTGATTTTCAAATTATGAATGCTGTAAGTTGAAAGTTTAGTATTGCTACTACTGTATGTGACATTACTCAACTATGGAATTAGAAATTCTGTTTAATATATTTTTTTTAAATTTGTAACCATGGTAGTACAATAAAATAATATGGATACTGACACGCTATCATAAAAATCAACTTAGATAACGTCAGTCTGAATGTAAGTACTATCTCGAAAGAAGCCAATATTAACTGATTGAATCAATTCGGCCCCGGGTCGTTTCTGCCCGAGTTGTTCCGATAATTTCGGTCGCGGTATTTTTGTCATGCATTTCGGCCGCGGTGTATGTAGCGTCGAAGGTGCGACCGCGAATAATACTTTAATAGAGCAAGGTGACTAAGCAGTAACCGTTTGTTAAACATGAAAATTAGGCTACACTGCTGCAACATTATTCGTTTATTAACAACTGGAATGATCTGTCACTTCTTACTCGATCATATTCAAATTTAAGACTAAGAGGTGCCATATGCATGAATTTTCTTAACTCAATCTTACCCTCAACATCTGTGAAAGTCCCTCCTTCGGCCTCTCTATTGGAAACCTTGATTCACCACTGCAGTTGTTTTATTTTTTGTGCCACCAATTTTCTTGATTAGATAAGAACAGCTGCTGATACCGATTCATAGAATGTTCTTTCTTTAAATTAAAAAAAACTCATGCTCCTGGAATAGAAAATGTGGGAGCTTCTGTGATTCTACTAGCCACACTAGAACTCAGACCTACGACCCTCGATTGACTCTTTTACTCTCACACTATCACGACCTACACTGCGATCGGTACACGACCGACACCGTCGTTGCCAGGTCGTGATAGCGTGATACTTGCTCGTGACAAGGCAGAGGTCGTGTATGGTCGCGGAGTTTTTTAGCATGTTGAAAAATTTATTGTGGTCGGTACTGGTCGCCAGTCTAATCGTAGTCGCTCTCACACGTGTCGTAATCATTTGGCTAAAGTGGCCATTATTACTTTCCACCAATAAATGACAAGAGGGCAGGTCACACTTCCAGTCGGATACGACCGCAGGTTGGTACGGTCGCAGTGCTAAGTCGCGATAATGTTAGAGTTGCTTAAATCAAAGAACTCAGGCCACGACCCTCGAAGCTTTATCGAAGGGCCTGACAATCAAAATTGCTCTGGGGCACGTTCTAACCTAGCTACGCCACCTTGCTACGCCACTGATTAAGCTGTAGTGTGCTTTCAGTAAAGTAATTAAAACAAAGCAGAGTTCAAACAATTGATAATGAATCGAGTGGGTGTGTGACATTGGTTGGGAAAGAGTAAGATGTAAAATTCAGTTCAGAAGATTATGGAGGAGTACCGTACTCGCGCGAATAAGCGCCCCTCTCGAATAACCGCCCCTCCTAACGTGAACATTTCCTTAAGCGCCCAGTTTGAATAAGCGCCCCCTTATAAGATTTTCTTTTTAGCAAATCAATCAATCCTGGGACTGTGGTTGTTGGCATGGTTTGAGCTGTAGAGTGGAAACGTACATTCTTCTTCGGTCAACATATCAAAATGAATATATTGCTCTTGAACAGATGAGAGCTCCGATCCCTGGACAGACAGTGTATTTCCAACTTTACTCTTTTTACATATTTGTCTATGCCTAGTCCTACTCCTCTTTTTCTTTTTCCGACCTTTAGCACATTCTCATCTGAGTTTTCAAAAAAAAATACAAAGATCCTGCCATCCTGCTAATCTCAATCGGCCGATGGCCAACAAGGGTAATAATTTTCCCGGTTAGTAATTTATGACCCGGTTTGATACCCTCACCCCACGCCAATATAGAAAACAATACGACATAGGATTTATAATAATATACGACGGCTTGGTCAGCCCGGTAAAAACCATCGGGGGGAGTTTTTCGACCTCTTCCCCTGCCTGTTACACCACTGGGGGGAGAATGGCCCACTGGTGCCACCCCTGATTTGTCAGTGTGATTAATATCCCTTCTGACCTTCATGACATAGCGCTACACAATGTTAGCAATATATATGTTAAGAATTTATTTAAGTTTATGTGTTACCACAGGGCCTGGACACGGCATCAAATTAGATTCTGGAAGATTGGTTGTTACTGGACATACTAAATCGCCAGATGAAAGTAAGAATAAAGAATACAAATGAATAATAGTCAATTAATAGTCAATGAAAGTAAAACTAAAGAACTAATCTTTGACTTTCCAATAATACCACAGTGTTAAAGGCAGGCTCTCTCCGGAGGAAAACAATGTTTTGATATGCTGTACAACTGATATTTTTCTAAGACACAAAATTGATCTTGAATATTTACAAAACTGGGTGAAAAGGGGGCGTAACCACCCTTTTCTCCAGTTTTTTAAATATTCAAAATGTATAACTTATTTTCCCTTATTTTACGTCAAACGCCACTTTTGTGTCTTAGAAAAATCAGTTGCAGAAGATGTCAAACAACCCTTTTCCTCTGAAGCCTGGCTTTATGGCAAACAAATTAGTCAGGAGATACTGATATTGTGACTAAATAGGCCTATGGTACTGTCAGTACCGTACAGTATTATAATAGATAAGCTCAACTGAGGAAACAGTGTAAACCATTAATATCTAAAGGATAGATCATGTTTTACAAGCGAGGTGAGGTGCTCTAATAGGTAGTTTTCGCCGCACGACGTTAACCTTAACTTTAACGTTAGTACCAAATATTTTATTAATGTTCCCTGTAATAATAAATATTTTGAGCAAATAATAAATAAACTATGAATGAATTTAAAATTTATAAGAAAAAACTATTACAACTATTAAAATTCTAAATACATTAAAATCATTCACTTAGATAAAATAGAAATTACAAAATTGTCTAAATTGTTTCAATCGCTTTTACTATTAGTGGGCCAACTGTTTGTTATTGTAAGTGATGATGATGGTAAAACATGGAAAAAGGGAGGTGATATTCCGTTCGCAATCTCCAATGGAAACGCAGTTACAGGAGATGAATGTCAGGTATGTGATTGCTGGTAGAAAAACAAATTCATATTTCATGTGTCCTTGTCATTCCCTTTGTGTTCCTCGTCCTTCCACCGGTTACAGAAAATCAGCGTATGCTCACTACCTGGTCCTATACTTCATATGATACACTCCATAATAACTCTGGCCGTCATGATTCGTTGAAGTCTCCTGCTACCTTACATCCCACTGCTCTTGTTGCCGTGTCATCAATATTTAGCGAAAAGCCTTAATTATTTTAAATCAAACCTCTCAAAGGTAACAATTTCATTATAATATTTGTATTACTATTAATTTAGGCTGTTGAGGTGGCACCCAACAGTGTGGTTATAAATTGTAGAACATCAGGCTCGTACCCACGAATGCAATGCTACAGTTCTAATGGTTGTGACACCTTTGGTCGATCCGAGCTTAAACCAACGTTGATTGAACCAAAACATGGTTGCGAGGTAATTTATTTTCGTGTTAGTTAATTGTGTTTATTGTATTAAAAGATTTCCTTTGTTACTTCACTTACCAATCGGCCCAAAATCATCATGGCACCATACTCCAGAATTGATAGTTAAATAACTAACTAGAACAGCACTCTATACTTCAGGCCTGTACCTGAATGCTGAATAATTAAGTTTATTGGCAATTTCATTAATTAAGTTTTTAAAAAAATGAAATTACTTGACCTTTAACTTTCAACCCAATATTAAGTCACCCTAGACCCATATCTACCACTCCAGTAAATTTATGACGGATACCATTGTGTGATTACAAAATGAAATTAAAAAATTAGTATTGTGATACCATAAAACCTCGAATAGAAGCCGAATGGGCCTAATTCCGAGATGAAGACCATCTCGAATGGAAGCTTCTGTCTTTAATTTGCAAAATTACCCTCGAAAAAAAGCCCATCTCAAAAAGAAGCTTAGGGCTTCCTTTCAAGACTGCAAAGGTCGCAGGTTTTGAGGTTTTGCGGTAGGCCCATATTTTATTACCATTATTTTTACTATTATAATAATTGTCTTTTGCAGGGAAGTATACTTGGTTTCGGTGCACCAAACAGTGTTGACCAAAAATCTTGGGTACTTTTTAGTAACCCAGCCAATGAAAATGCAAGGTGTAATCTCTCGGTACGTTTAAGTACAGACGGCTGTAATACCTGGTCCAAACCAAAAACCCTACAATCAGGCGATTCAGCTTATTCAGATTTGATCGGCTTCACTCACGATTGCCAGCAGAAATTTGCTTGCCTTTTTGAACGCCTATGCTCTAAAAATTTGTATCACATTGATTTTGTCATATTTACTATTGATACTTAAATAGAAAGGTAATCTTCATCAAAACTAATTGAGGATATCATGACAAAATGTGTGTTTTACGCCAGCCGCCTGGTCAATTTGATATGTTCATGAAAGTTTTGACAAAATTTTCTGAGTATTACTGATAAGTTTCTTCTTATTTGATTTACATACATTTATAGTGTTTTGAGGCTGTTTTTCAAAATTGGTAGCAAAAGGTTTTTGATATTGATATATCTATAAGGGGCCCGCCCCCTTATTAAAAAAAATCCAATAAAGCAATGCATAAATAAAAATCTAGATTGATAGTATTTATTTTTAGATAATACTGCACATTATAAGTTAAAATTGTCTAGCAGTGGCGTAACTACCACATGTTCAGGCGGTTCACTGAAACGGGCCCCCGAATTCTAAGGCCCCCTTATAGAAAAAAAAATCTAATAAAGCAATGCATAGAAAAGTATAATAATATTTATCGTTATATTCAATATTGAATTTTATCATTTAAAATTGTTAATTTAACTTTAAAATAATCAATTAATAATACAGTATATAGTTTTCAATACTTTAACTTGGCTCTTTGTTGATACACCCTTTTTTTTTTCTTTTTTTTTTATAAGAACCATTAAAATTTTGCCCAACTCAATGTTCTTATTTTTTTGGCTGATCTCAGACTCAAAATGTTGTTCTAGTTTTGTTCTTATTTTACACACTTTTCAAACATAGAAAATGATTATTGTACGCAGTATGCACTGTACTAGAATGTAGATAAAAGTGGCCTCGGAAAAATGGCCCCAGAAAAAGGGCCCTGGTAAAAATGGCCCCAGATGACAGGTAGGTACGCCAGTTGTACTGTATTATAGATAGTATTACATAGTCACACCTACTGCACAGGTACAGATATATTTTGTTTTGGTTTTCTTTAGTGTTTTTAAAATTAAAAACTCTTTTGACATTTTACCTCAGCCTCAATTTGTTCTTATTTTGTTCTTAAATTTTAAGCAATTTCAGCAATGTGTTCGTATAAAATGTGTTCTATAAAAAAAAAAGTGTATACTGTATTCAGCAGTTTTAATGCATGAATATTATTTCGTTGACGATTTCATTATATTTTATTGTACTGTATTTGTTTCTAACTGCATTTAATGAGAAAATTTCAGCATTTCATTTTTTACATAGCCTATTTTATATACTTTCAAGGGATTGTATTCTGATTGTAATGGTTTTGTTGTATTAATAGACCTGGAAATTGAATAAAATAAATAAAAATAAAATACCACAATTTAGGGTGAATTCTGTCCATGTGAGCTAATTTAGAGGTATAAGCAGAGCAAAATATAAAACACTTTAACATTAAAAATTAACAGGACAGACAAAAAATTTTAGAAAAATCTCAACATTAGGGACCATTATCTTTTGAAACATTTTTGGCAATATTTCCAATCCATTTTGAATAGTTTGAATTGAATTTATTCATTAATCATGTAATTTAAACCATAACAACGACTGCTTTCCATGTGGGTCCCATAAAAACGACTTCAAATTGCACAGTCAACGGAGATAAAAACAAAACACAGACACCTAAAAAGCAATAAAATGCTTAAATATTTAGTAAGAAGTTGGCCTAAACATATAATGTCTTTTTTAAGTTGATATGCAGAAAGTGGTACATCGCCCTACCACCAAATTTGGTGGCGTTATTCATTATCAAAGTCAATCTGATACTACGGCTACCCATCTTTTTCATCTTTTGTTTTCCCACTCTGGGCATATCTACTCTGATTGGCTGAAAATGGAAGCGTCACTCATACGTCACGATGGAAAGCCTGGCTACGAACAGGCGGTAACAAGGACAATCTTCGCACTGCTGTTGCAGCAGTGAAGAGAATTAGGTCAGCGTCGTAGTCTTTGCAGTCAAGATTTGAAGCATTAACAGGAGTAAAACACATTCAAAATCGTATTTTTTCTGCTTATTTTCACGAGGTTTTTTTTCTTCCAAATACAAGGTGACCTCATTAATAACGATAGGTCGTTAGTTTCAAACAAAGGAAATACTTTTGCACTGTACTATAAGGGCCATAAAATAAGAGTGGAACTTAATTTATTGACAAACCCAAAATAGTTTTCGCTTAAACGAGAACTTAGGTCTTGAACCTAATTTCTCGATGGTACCCGAGTTTTCGTGACACCAGCTATTTAATTTTGGAACACTTCTAAGTACGAAAGCCTATTCGTGCCACTTAAGTATATAAAATCATCAAAATGTAATCCGAAATAACGGATTAGTAATCCGTTATTTCGAATTAGTAACTCGTTATTTCGGATTACTAATCCGAAATTTCGAATTAGTAATTCGTTATTTCGAATTAGTAATCCGTTATTTCGGATTAGTAATCCGAAATCTCGAATTAAGTTATTCGTTATTTCGAATTAGTAATTCGTTTTTTCGGATTACTAATCCGAAATAACGAAATACTAATTCGAAATTTCGGATTAGCAATTCGTTATTTCGGACTACTAATCCGAAATTTCGAATTAGTAATTCGTTATTTTGAATTAGTAATCCGTTATTTCGGATTAAGTAATTCGTTATTTCGAATAAGTAATTCGTTTTTTCGGATTACTAATCCGAAATAACGAATTACTTATTCGAAATTTCGGATTAGTAATCCGAAATAACGAATTACTAATCCGAAATTTCGAATTAGTAATTCGTTATTTCGAGTTAGTAATTCGTTATTTCGGATTAGTAATTCGTTATTTCGAGTTAGTAATTCGTTATTTCGAATTACTAACTCGAAATAACGAATTACTAATTCGAAATTTCGGATTAGTAATCCGAAATAACGAATTACTAACTCGAAATAACGAATTACTCAGGAGCGAGGACGTAGGCCTAGGCCTAGAGAGAGAGTTGGGACGCGGTAACGTCTTGCCCTAATTTTCACACGTTTCACTCGGTTTCAGTAATTTTGAAAGGAACACATGAATCATGCTGTCATAATAGCGTTGTTACAAATAAAAAGAACATAATTGTCCATTTAATATTGGCATGTATTTAATAATCTATTCATTATTTACTACAGTGAGAAAAGAAAGAAAAGCAATATTTACACAGGATCTCAATAAATAGCTATTAGTATGGTGATTATGTCTTGCTGAGCTATACTGGAAAAAATGTCTAGTTTATCATAAACTATAGTGTACTGTATAATGTCTGTTTTTGCATTATTAATAAAAAATATTTTCATTAAAATCGAGACAGCTGAAAATAATTATAAGCCTATGTTTTTCTTTAATTTTTTTATGTATAAACTTAAATCTTTTTTTGTTGCAGTAATTTTTGTTGTACCTGTTACTGTACACACTGTTTATTGAGAAGAAAAAACCAGCTTCATTCTCAAAGTAATTCAGTTATTGCAATTCGATTAGTAATCCGAAATAACGAATTACTAATTCGAAATAACGAATTACTTAATTCGAAATTTCGGATTAGTAATCCAAAATAACGGAATAATAATTCGAAATAACGAATTACTAATTCGAAATTTCGGATTAGTAATCCGAAATAACGAGTTACTAATTCGAAATAACGGATTACTAATCCGTTATTTCGGATTACTAGGCCTAATCCGAAATTTCGGATTACATTTTGATGATTTTATATACTTAAGTGGCACGAATAGGCTTTCGTATCTAAATGATTTACCAAATTATAACTCGCATTCACAACCAACATTTGCAACATCTATGATGTGACTTACATCAACAACAAGGCGAGGGTCCTACTAAATACCACACGCGACAACACGCTACCACGCGTAACCACACGGATGCAAAAAATGATAAAAATATTACCACACAACAGTAGAAAACTGCTTAACAATCAATAGAAACCAACTTTTAGAACGATAATTGTCCAAATTCCGTTAAAAATCGATGTATGTTGTTTTTTCTTTGGTTGGTTTTGCCCGTCGTGTCTCGGTAAGTAATACGTTGACATTTTGGATATATAACGCATTGACGTGTCAGCAGAAACGCATTTAACCATGACCTTCATGTCTTCGTTTCATAGCATTACTCAAGATATATGTACTACGGTACCACATGATTCTGCATTAAAACAAAATGAGTATTTAAATTGTAGTATATTTGTATTAATGTATTGTTAGATACATTTATTCTATTTTTCAATTTCTGTCAATGCTCATATACTTGGTTTTTTTTATTTTTTTTTTTATTTCAGTGTAGGCCTACATCAATGGAATAAAGAAGATTAATATAAAATATATGATTAGAAGTGATGAATACATAATTGTAGAAGTAAAGAATAAGTTTCCATTGGGTTACCAGAGTAGGACAATTATAAAACTAAAAAAAAAATCTATTTTTCATCAAATATATAGCCTACTCACTTCATAATAATTATTATTATTAGGTTAATATGTCCTGAGCTAATATGTTGGCCTAAATTTTACCATGTACAATATATTTTATAAGTAACCTCTGCTAATTAGCATGCATCAGCTCTGTACATTTGTTATTTCATAAAAAAAATACGCCCTTACTGTACATGTTTATGCTAATTAATGTGTCAAGTATGCAAGAGATAATTTTATAGAAGGTTAATTTAGTACGCTTTCATCATTGCTTCATGGTGTTGCTGTTGCTAATTTTTAGGCATGTTTTTAGTGAGACTAATCACAATTGACAGAAAACAAGAGTAGACGTCTTTCGGGAAATTAAAAATATATTTATTTCTTCTCGAAAATTGTAATCGTCTCTGCCACATTCTTTATTGTGATATCTTGCATAGTTTGATTAATTAGCATAAACACAAAGGGCGTATCTTGATAAAATAACAGTAATGGTTTATGTAGTACAGGGCTGATGTATATGACCATAGAGAAAATATACT